TCATTCTCTCCCCAGAGGAGAACACAGCAGCTGCCCCTCCTCTCTTCCTCCATATGCCTCCCTATTTTTAAGAATTCAGTTCTCCAGAAACACATTAATGAGAAGTTTCTATTTTAATGAGTTAGTTGTTTGGTGGATTGGCATTCTTCCTCTCCCAAGCTCAAAATCCTTTGTTACAGAGACAAATTGGAATAGGACATGGAGTGCAGAAGGAATTCAGATGCATCCAAGCTTTTCTTTTCACAGATGGGGCAAGAGACCCAGGGGATGGAGGTCTGGCTTGCCCACAGTGTAGAACCAGAACTGAGTCCCAACCATCCCATCTCGTCATGCAGTTTCTTCCACTGTGCCATGATAGTGGGAGTCTGTGGTTTGAAGTGAGAGAATAAACCCAAGACTACACACATAGCAGATTCATACACACCAACACGATTCTATCTCAGGCTTCTGGTCTTTGTGCCAGGGTTTGAAGTCATGCCTGAGGCAGGCCAGAAATTTGGGGGGGGGACTCTTCCCAGGAGCAAACTTCATCAAGATTGGGTGAGCATGGGTGGATAAAGGTTCAGTTTGTCACCTCTTCTTTGATACAATCACTTGGGCTGAGATCTTTGCTGCTGGTGTGGTCTTTCTGAGAAAAGAACTCACACAGCTCAGGCTGGCCTCAATCTCACTATGTAGCCAGTGATGTCCTTGAACTCCTGTTCCTGCCTCCCAAGTGCTGATATAGGCAAGTGCCACCTTGCCTGGCTTACATGGTTTTGTTTTGTTAGGAATGCTAAGGATCAAATTCAGGGCTCTGAGCATGTTTTACCACTGACCTACCCACTTAAGTTCAAGAGTGCATCATCTTTGATCCAAACACTCTGTAGGAACTCATCATGTAGAAACTCTTACACAATTGTACAAAGATGTGTGTCTAGGAGCATGCATTGCAGGATAAATTGCAGTCATATAAATACTAAAATTATGCAATTACAATCACGGCTGAAGGGCTGCTGTAGCCCTCCCTGTAGATTTGATAGGGCCCTTATAACCATGCACACAGCACGGAACAGTTTATATACAGCTGTGGAAAGGAGGTTCAAGACATTTCAAGTGAAAAGAAAGCACTTGTCAGGAATATAGGAGCCCACCGAGAGTGGAACTACTTATGGTAGAGGCTGAGCTAATATGGTGTCTTTGGGATTACATAAGAAGTCTGAGGTTCTTGGGGGTGGGGAGCCTCTGCTCCTGAGTAAGGCTGAGACATCCCCAGAGGGGACCAATCAGGGGGAAGTGCTGTTTGCTGCAGAAGTTCTAGCATTATGAAAGTTAACCAACTTTCCCTCCCTAAGAGGCAGCCACTGGAAGAGGCAGTGGTGTGTGGCTTCCCTTCAGCTGTGGTTTCCTCGGTGTTGGCTCACTGGAGCCAGTCCCAGGGAATAGTTCTGAGTCTGTAAGGTACTGTTATTGCAGTGCTCTGAACCCAGGGCCTCTCAACCTCGGTAACACAGAGCTGACAGAAACCACAAAAGGACTTGTGTGCTCCTCACTGGGACCTGGGCCTTGTGTTGAGGATCCTGAAGGGATGCAGAAGTCATTCATGTGGAAACAGAGAGGTAGATAAACCGGGGACACAGAGACTTGACATGCTGGCTTAGAGCCCTGGCTGGCATAAGCTCCAGCGATTCCCATTCACCGGCGATAGAACTTGAAAGCTGTCTAGGATACATAACAAGCCGGACAGAGCTTGGCATGAGGTCTAGCTTGGCGCTGAGCTACAGTGAGGGGAACACTAGCATTTCAATGGACCCTAAGTCCAATGGCTGATGTTATTATAGGGGAAGAAATTCAATAGAGCAGAAAAAAAAAACCCCTCAGGAGGAAAGTCACGTGACCAGGGGACAGAACCTGGGTGGATGTAGCAGCCAGTCATGAAATATCAAAGCTTGTGCCAAAGACTTCAAAAAAGTGGAGGGGGGGCAGCTGAGATTGTGATTTCAGACGTGGGCCTCCAGAGCTGGGAGAGAATCAGTTTCTGTCATTCCAACCACCTTGTTTACAACACTTCTCTACAAAGATCCAGGGAAACTCATACATGATATCTAATAATACTAATGTGCAATAATGGCACTAGTAATCCCAAAATGTAATAATAATGTTTGTGAAGGAAGTAAGATGGAGTAATTGGTATTATTTGGGGGAAAAACAGTGGTGAAATGAAGGTGAATTGTGGGTTGGAGAGATGGCTCAGGGGTTAAGAACACTTGCTGCTCTCCCAGAGGACACAAGTTTGGATTCCAGCACCCACATCTAGTGGATCATAACTGTCTGAAAGTCTCCTATAGGGAATGTGGTGTCATTTTCTGTCATCCACAAGCACTCACACGTATGTCTCACACACACATAGACACAGACACAGATACACACACACACACACACACACACACACAAGAAAATTGGCTTTTTACAGATGCTGGATTTTAAATGAACTAAATTTAGAGGATAAGTAGAATTCTTGTTGTCCTAAGAGTGTTTTACTATCAGGCCGGCAGTTGTAGAAGAGGTTTGCTTCTGGTCATCACTTACCTCTGGTGTGACCTTGGGGACATTGGTCAGCTTCTGTGGTGAATCGGTTTTTTGCGCTGTCTTTAAACTTACTCTCCTCCTGGCTCTAAAATTCTGGGCTCCAGGGGGCACTGCCATGTCCAGCTAATGTTCAGCACCTTCAGAGAATTATGCACAGTTGCTGCTTCTCAGCGGTCAGTTGCGTAAGATAAGGAGCTGTCTCGTGCTGCTTTTGAGCTTTCTGTAGCTTGAAGTTGTTTATTGTGCTTCTCCACTGGGATGTAATTTCCCATTGTCCATTTTGTGCCCTAAATAAAGCTTCTTTATAACACTCTACCTGATGAGTTGTCTTTTGGATGTGCCAAGTGTGTCACCTTTGCTATCTAAGAGGTGCCTGTCTTAGTCAGTTCTATTGCTGCGAAGAGACATCATGCCCACAGAACCCCTTTTAAAGGAACACATTTAATTGGGGCTTGCTTATAGTTTCAGAGGTTTAGTCCATTATCTGCGTGGTGGGAAGCAAGGCAGCAGGCAGGCAGACATGGTGCTGGAGAAGGAGCTGGGAGTTCTATATCCAGATCTTTAGGCAGCAGGAAGAGAGACAGCTTGGCATGAACTTCTGAAACCTCAGAAGCCACCCCAGTGACACACTTCCGCCAACAAATTCACACCTACCCCAATAAGGCCATACTTCCTAATTCCTGTTAAGCACCATTCCCTAATGACCAAACATTCAAATATATGAGCCTATGGGGACGATTCCTATTCAAACCACTTCAGAGTTTCACATTTGTCTCACCAGTTCACGGGGAAGAGCTGAGCTCAGCCCATATCCCACAAATTGCCAGCACACTTTCCAAAATCTGCATTTATCCTATACCTAACTGTAATCAAGGGTCTGCCTAAGTTCCATAGCATACACACAGAATCTGGGAAAGATGCAGAGTGAAGATATTTTGTTGTCTCATTGGCAAAATACAAGCATTGGACACTCTCCTCTTTTAGTTAAAAGCTCACTAATTTACATGGCAGGTGCCTTGACAACTGCCACCCAGTCAACCTTTTTCTCCAAATGCTGCAACCACACTTTAGGACCTCCCTCTGGAGCACTGGCCTCCGTGTCTTTCCCAGGAAGGACATCTTGGTGACTGAGCCGAGGACACAGACTCACATCCTTCTCCTCTTCTCACCGTCTCAGGCTACACTTTGAATGGGAAGAAATAGACCCAAGTGCCAGTTACTTGAGATGTGACGTGTGAATATCTTTGCTTATGATCCTCATAGTCTAAAATCAATTTTATTTACAAAAACTTTTTAAGAACTCTCTCTCCTCCTTCCCACCCCACCCCCATCCCTCAGTGTGTGTACATAAATGCAGTTCTGCAAAAACCAAAAAGATGATGTCAGATTCCCCTGGATTTGGAGTTACAGGCAATTTGTAAGCCACCTAAAGTGAGTGTTGGGATTTGAACTTGAGTTCTCTGCAAGAGCAGTATGCACACTTAACCAGCGAGTCATTTTTCCCCTCTTAAAATTAATAAACAAACAACAAAAATCCAACAATTTGAGTTATAAAAGAAGAGTTTCTTTGACAGATCCATTGAACCCTACAATATTGTTTATTTTTCTTAAGGACAAAGATTTGAACTTATAATCCTAAATCACCCTCCAAATAGAGAGTTGGATCAATTGCATCTCATGAGACTTTTTTTTCCCAGTGTAAAATTTTTGTTCTGGAAAGTGCAACTGCCTAGAGACACCAGACAACAGCAAAGGCCATCACATAAACTAGGGTGAAAACCCCTTAAGAAGAGAGTGACAGAGCCAGGCTGCAATCAGGCTTGCAGTCATGCTGGGGAGGAGACTCTGAGAGCCAAAGGGAGGACAGAGCGATGGGATGAGGCCAGGTCCCTGGAACACAGTGGTGGAAACACAGCAGTAGGGAATGGCAGCCCAGACATCTCCAAGTCATATTGGAGGCCTGGCTTCATTATCCTAAAAACTTTCCCTTGAATAATTCACAGAGCACTCAGCAGGGTGTCATTTTTGTTTTTGTGCCTGCTTAATAAATATTGATTGTAATGTCAGAAAATGTAATTAAAAATTAAAGCACCCTTGTGCTTAAGATGTTGACCCCCACTTGCTGATACCATTTCGCAAATTGTTGGACGTGAACTGCAGTGTTGCAGAGCAAATCTTCCAACATCACCAGAACAGATAGCAACTGGTAAGATAGAGCCACTAAGTGAGCAAACTGCTCTACTTCCCTCCAGAACACACACACACACACACACACACACACACACACACACACACACACTTTTCATAAGAATCCAAATATAAACTTATTCATTCATTTTAACCATTTCCCATTAGCAGCTTCTTTTGCTGACTAACCCATGTGTAGCTATTCTTTGTCTACATTCTCAAATAGACTACAAAGTAAATCCCAGTAAGCTCAATGTTATCTTTTATTGTTTATTTTGTGAAGATTTTGGGGAAATGCTTTCAACATGCATGTTTGCAAACACTGCCCCCCAACACTGCGACCCGTGATAAACTAGCTACGGACTCACAAGTCAACCTCTTTAAATTTAGCACTTAAATGTGTCTAATATTAAAAATGCTGGAGTCAGGACTGGAGAGATGGTTCAGTGGAAGAGCGCTGGCTACACAATCCAGATGATTTTGATCTCCAGCACCCACATGAAGGTGAAAGATGAAAAAGGAATCCATGAAGTTGTCCTCTGGCCTCTACACACTCACACTGTGGCACACGAACCTCACCTGTAATGCATATACACAATAATAAAAATAAATTTAAATTATCTAGTCTGTCTCCGTTCCCATGCGCTCAGCTGTTACACATTCGATGAACTGCAGATTGGAAATAGTAGAGACAAATACAGTGAGCCTTTTGAACCAGAGTCTGGAAGATCAGGAGCTCATGGTCATTCTCAGCTACACAGTGAGTTCAAAGCCAGTCTGGATTGCATGAGACCCTGACTCAAAACAAACAAGCAAACGAAAAGAAAGGAAATATTTGAAAATAATGCATCTTTATTGACCCTAAATATGCTTGGCTTCATTCCTGACACTGTTATTCACAAAGGATTTGCATGATCTAGGGCAATGCTTCTCAGCCTTCCTAATGCTGTGACCCTTTAACACAGTTCTGAATGCTGTGGTGACCCCCAACCATAAGATCACCTTCCTTGCTACTTCATAACTGAAATTTTGCTAATTATGAAATATAAATGTCTGTATTATAAACATCAGTAGTAAATATCTGATACACAGGATATCTGATATGTGATCCCAGGTTGATAGCCACTGGTGTAAAGTGTTCTGAGTAATTTAGAGCTGACTTAAAGCAGAGGATGAGTGTGGGTTCTGTGCCAACAATGCTCAGTTTTATATACAGACTTAAGCATATGTAGCTCTCAGTATCCTCAGGGCCCTGTGACACATTACCCACAGATACGGGGGTGGCAGCAGAGGGACTGACATGGTGATTCAAGAGGGACTGACAGGGGCTAGAGAGATGGCTCAGCAAATAAGACCATTTGCTATTCTTCCAGAGGACCCAGGTTCAGTTCCCAGCACCCACATGACAGCTCACAACCATCTGTAACTCCAGTTACAGGAATCTGATGCCCTCTTCTAGCCTCTGCTGGCACCAGGCATGCAAGTGGTGCACACACATACAGGTTGGCAAAACATAAATGTGCAGAAATATTTTTTTTAATTTTAAAGAGAGACAATGTTAAAAAATTATTTAAAGATAACCAGAAATCACTCATGACAAACACAGATAATCACTAGTCAAAATTTAGTGTTCTCTCTTCAACTTTACATGCATATATTTAATAAAATTTGAGGATCATTTTGCATCCACAATTTTGCTATTATCTATTTTTCACTGTTTATTATGTAACAGTCATGTATATTACTGGATTTTTAGTAGGAATTTTGTACTAGAAATATTTGATAATATAGAAAATCTAGTAACATAGGAACTAATAATACACCCATATTAGAAATGTAAATATAACTATAGATAGCTGCATCATAGAATATTGAGCTCTTGTTGGCCTGAAACTGTCTGTGTAGACCAGACTGGACTTGAACTCAGAGACCCACCTTTCTCTGCCTTCCAGGTGATGATATTAAAGGCATGCACCATCATGCTTGGCTAAACTTGCATCTAATTATTTGCTACAACATGCAAGACAAAGCTTTTTAAAGAACAGTGTTTGTTTTATTTTTAGTTTTGTGCTTGTGTGTTTATCTGGGTGCATGCACCCGAGTGCAGGCACCGACAAAACAGGAAAGTTGTCAGTACTCCTGTAGCTGGAGATGCAGGTGCTTATGAGCCTCTAGCAAGGATGCTGGCAACCAAGCAGCCATCCTCTGGAAGAGCAGACATCACTCTTGACAGTGAGCTACAGTCGTTATATAAAAATCTTTTTGCAGTTTCTTTGTATGGATATAATAGATTTTAAATGTTTATTTTTCAAAATAAAGAGGTAATTTAAAGTATACAAGAGGATGTTTGTAGGTTATATACAAACACTGTACCATTTTTTTAATATAAGCTCAAGCATCTGGGGATTTTGGTATCTTTAGTGGTGGTGGTGGGTGTCCTGCAACTAAAGCTTCATGGGTACTGAGGGAAACAGCACAGAATAGATTTGAAAGGAAAACAAAAATCACTCCTCACAATAAATATAGACGTTTGTGCTGGCTAGTTTTATGTCAACTTGACACAAGCTAGAGGTACTGGACAGGAGGGAGCCTGAACTGAGAAAATGCTTCAGTAAGGAAGGTCAGGCTATAGGCAGGCCTGCAGGGTGTTTTCTTAATTAGTGATTGATGTGGGAGGGCCCAGCCCATTGTGGGTGGGGCCATCCCTCAGCTGGTGCTCCTGGTTCTGTAAGAAAGCAGACTGAGCAAGCAGTCATAGGGGCAAACCAGTAAGCAGCACTCCTCCATGGCCTCTCCATCAGCTCCTGCCCCCAGGTTCCCGCCCCGTCTGAGTTCCTGTCTTGACTTCCTTCAGTGATATGGAGGTGTGAGCCAAACAGATCACCTCTAGGTCATTCATAATACCTAATACAATGTAGACACTTCCGGAAAATGTGGTGTCTCCATGCCCAGCTCGAACTCCCACTGCTTCTACTTGGATTCATAGTCCAGTCTTCAAAGATGAAAGGGGGCAGTTCAGAGTCCTCCAGACCCCTCCCGGCTCTATTGTCTTTTTCCTCCAAGTGTACTGGAACTACCTTATACCAGCTTGGGGATGAGTATTGTCTTAGTCTACTTTATACTGCTGTGATAAAGTCCATGACAAAAATCAACTTGGGAAAGAAAGGGGTCGAGACCCAGAGGTTGAGAACCATTGCAATGTGGAATATATGATAGAGCATTATTCATTATAAACTGTGCTTAACAACCATTGTATCAGAAAAAACTTCTAACAGACATCTGTGATTTGTGAGAGAGTTGTGGAGCATTTCCCAACATGCTACTGTCCCTACCCTATTACCGCCTGTCTCCATGGCGTACATTACTGTCTAGGTTTCCTCCTCGTTTCTGATTGCATCTGGTACTCTAGGCCCTGCCTAAGGCCCGCACTTCAGTGTCAAGGTCAGTACATTTGGCAGAAGGCCATGAACAAGCCTTGGCTCTGCAGAGCATCCTTCCCCAGCTGGACTGGGCCCCAGTGTCCCTCAGGTCTCTGGCTACTCTCCCATCACTGCAGAGAGAACGTTTCTGGGATTCAGACACCTCTCCTACCAGACTCAAAGCTTTGATGAAATTTGAAAAGAGCTGTACACTTTTTGGTTTGGGAGGTTTCCTCCTCTCTGGAAACAGTTGCCAACTGTATATTTTGTAGCACTGGGAAATCTTAGTTGATATTTTAACTCGTTGAAAAGGCTGCATGCTAAGCAATTGAGGATGAATTTGTCTGTGGGAGTGAGCAGGGTCTGCTCAGCCCACATGAACAAATCCATGCTGCTTCTCTCTGAGCCGGCATGGCTTTGTCAACTCGTTCCCACAATGGCCTCAACAGGCCTGTGCCAGACATGACTTCCCTGCCAATCACACTGAAGCCTCCAAGGAAACCAGGAGGGCAGGTGGCGATAATGAGCTTGTTGTTGGGCTTTAAATTTAGCAAAACCGCCACCTTAGAGGGCTCCAAGCTCTTCTGTTTTCTTCTTTCTACATGGGTTCATTTCCAGGATCCTGCATCCCTGTGGTAAGCTCCAGAGAAATGACTATGTTGGTGTTTTCAGAATTAATTTATGAGCCCCTGAGAGCCTCAAAATAGTCTCCTTTGCTCAGCCGGGTAACACAGGAACTGGCTTAGGTTTTGCACCAGGCAGATGCTGTCTGGAACAAGAACAAAATGCTAATGTGGCAAAACCAACATCAGGTCTTAGCACACAGAACAGCTTATTATTTTCACTGTCTGAAAAGCATGGAAGGGGGAGGCAGAATTCATCCAGCTTGGAGCCATAAGTGGATGAAATTAATTCATGAACTTGGAATCAGTTTTTAAACAGTGTGTATGTATGATCCATCCTAGAGAGTAACCTGGGGACATAGTTAAGCAACTTTAATAAATTTGCATTCTTTAGAAATACCTTCTACTATTTCCATTATCTGTTTTTACAATGAAATTCTTGAAGCTGGATAACTTTAGAAAGAAAAGAGGTTCTGTTCTGGGGCTTAAGGGCACAGAGCAGGGTCAGTGACACTACAATGGTGAGATCACATCATCAACAGCTTCACTGTTGCCATAAACACCCTCTCCTGAGTGTCCCTGGGTCCCATGAGAATTACCTTAGTCCCATCTGAGGGTAGAGAGGCCACCAAGCATTCCACCACCTCGATACGCTTCCCACACACAGGCTCTTGGGAACCATATCTGAGTCTTACTGCGCTTGGCAGATTCTGTCTCCTTCCTTCAGTTCAGGGTTTCATAGAGAGCTTAGAAGACTGGGAGGGGGTGACATGGGGCTAGCTTTTCTCTGAGCTTAGCGACAGAGTTAAAGTGCTCGCACCTCAGAATGCACACCAAACTTTAAGATCAATGCCCAGGAGAACATTTTTTTTTCCTTAAAAAGGAAACCCATAAAACATTGTCATTGAGAAAATTAACCTGCTTATAAATATTACCTACTGAAGCCTACGTTATGGAACTTCTCATTAACCATGCAAAGATCCACACATTTGTATTCAGATGCCAAACAGAGAAAACAACATAAGACTGACATGAGGCACATACCCAGTGCAAGCATTTGCAGAGAGACTGTTCCCAGCAAACACAATGTCCTGTGAGCCCCTCCCAAAGTCCTAAAATGACAGGCATTCTTCAGGCCAGCAAGCCCCAGGGTGGCCAGCACCTGCAGACTGGGAACCCAGAGATGCTTCTGCACCAGCCCTGAGGTCTCCCTGCTTGCCCTCAAGCTCAGCTCACTCAGCCAACTCCAGGGTCAACTTGTCAGCCACACCTGAGTGGGGATTTCTGTTGCGTTTATTGGTGATAATTTCTGTTGCGTTTATTGGTAAAAGGCCTGCTGATTAAGTGCTAAATATCCGGCCAATTTCTGTTGGTTTTAATTTGCTTCTTTTTGCTTTGAAATGGAGTCTTGCTGTCATGTACAGGCTGGCTTCGAACTCATAATCATCCTACCTGAACCTTCCAAGTGCTAAGCTTTAAGATTATAGGTGCACACTACCCCACCTCACCCAGATGTTTATCCCATTTCTTATCATAGCCTAGAATTACATGAGGGCATATAAGGTGTGTGCATATGTACTTGAACCCCCACTCCCCCCCCCCACACACACACTAGACCTGGAGCAGAGAGACTAGGCTTGCTGCCTCTGCTAATTATATCCTGTCTAATTTAGAACACACCCATACATATGAAATGTGAGTTTCTCCTTTTACAAAATGAGAGGAAAGGATTAGATGATCCCCGGAGACTGCCCCAGCTGTAACAACTCTGACCCATGCCTGTCAGATAATTGTTTTAGGAGGATTAAAACCAGCTCTAGCCCCACATACAGGGGCTCCACAAAGGGGAACCAATGAAAATGTTTGTCCTGGGCCTGATCCACCCAATGGTTGAACTGTCATTTTCCCACGGGGACTAGCACATAGCCATCATCCGAGAGTATCCCTTGGCATTTTCAAAAGACTGCTTCCTTTGCAGAGTGGAACTCTATCCTCCGATGGCCATGCTATGTGTCTAAGATCTGTGGTAGAATATTGTTTTAAGGTGTGTGACTATGGTTTATGCTGCAATTGTTTAACTCGGTGATGCTGTGATCCTTTGCTTGTCTAACACACCTGAAGGTCTGATAAATAGCTGAACGGCCAATAGCGGGGCAGGAGCAAGGACACTCGGGGCTGGCAGACAGAGAGGATAAGTAGACGGAGAAAGGAGGGAGGAGGAGCAAGAGAACTAGGGACCAGCCACCCAGCCACCCAGCCACCCAGCCACCCAGCCAGCCATGGAGTAAGAAGGAAAGTAAGAGATTCAGAAGTAAGAAAGATAAAAGCCCAGAGGGAAAAGTTAGAGGAGTTAATTTAAGATTAGAAAAGCTGCCTAGAAACAAGTCAAGCTAAGGCCCAGTATTCACAAGAAAGAATAAACCTTTGTGTGTGATTTATTTGGGAGCTGGGAGGCGGCCCCACCCCCAAGAGCAAAAACATCACACAACAAAGATCAGATGAAGTAGTTGTACCAGTGGCCAGAGTGTTGTTAGGGAAAAGACTGTGTCAATGTCCTGGGGGTAATTTAGAAAACCTGATTTAAGAGAACAAGGCCTGCAGGGCACAGAACTTTCTGGGTGGAAGCCCGTGAGCTGCCTAGAGGTTTCTCTATATTCTTATAGACACCAGTGTGAAAGTTCAGACACTTCCCTTCCCAAATGCAAAAAGCCATCTTCCACTGCCCTCATTATGTCCTGCTGCTCAGAGAGCTAACTTCGAACTGCAATCGTTCTGTGGTATTTCTCCATTTTGTGGCTCAGGCATCAAGGCTGGGTGTGGCTGAGTGATCCTTCCATTCCACAGGACACACACAGATGTCACTTAGTGACAGCTGGATGGACTGTATGGAGAGCTCACATACAGTCCTCTTCTCATCTGGGGATGCTAGACTAGGCTTAGCTGGGGCTGTTGACTGGAGCACCCACCAAGGAGTGCTCTGGCATAGGAGTCTCTGAGCAGTTGTGCTCTTTATCCCCTTCTTATGGGGTGATCAAGGTTGAAGGCCCTCTCTAGGTGCAGACTCCTCAACCCTGCACTTCCAAGAGTCAAGAACTGTGAGGAGTAAATCATTCATTCTTTACAAAATACCCATTATCTACGTTATTTGATTATAGCAACATAGAAGAGGCCTGGACTTGAACAAGAAGCACTTATGTCTCATGGCTCCAGAGTCTAACAAGTCCAAGGCGCTAGCAGATCCAGTTTCTGGTGAAGGTTTACTTCCTAGTTTATATCTATGTGGCTTAGAAAGGAGCGAGAGCGAACATCTGTCCATTGTGTATTCTTCTGAGGCACTAATTGTATCACAGAGGCTCCATCTTCATGAACTAATTGTCCCCAAAGGCCCCCACTTTCCACTCTTCACATGGAGACAAGGCTTCAACTGTGATTTGGGAATGGGGAAATCACAAACATATGTACTTAGATTTGTAGTTTATGTGTATATTTGATGTGAGTCTTGCTTATTTATTTAGTTGAGATTTCATGAAAGTATTTATATCGCCCCTCCCTCTTGCTTCTTAAATAAATAATCCACAGTCATTTTCTCCAGTTATCAAATTTCCCCATGAACATTAGTGTTTAATGCCTACCTACTCTTCCACCACACCCAGGCCCATAGACTACCCATCAGTGAATGCATTTAGGTTGTTTGACCTGATAAATCATGATCTGAATATTCTCATCAAACTGTGCCTCTGGATTCATTATTTCATTAAGGAAGATTCTAATAGACTGCATGGTGGTGGCTCACGCCTTTAATCCAGCACTTGAGAGGCAGAGGCAGGCAGATCTCTGTGAGTTTGAGGCCAGCCTAATCTACAGAGCCAGTTCCAGGACAACTATGGCTGTTACACCGAGAAAACTTGTCTCAGAAAAAACAAACAAAAGATTCTAATGAGTAGAATTGTTAGGGTAATGGTAACACTCCCCACCTTGAATTATTTCTTGAATTATTTCTTCCTTTTAACATGTGACTTACTTTTACCTCTAGGATCTCTTTGTCTCTCACATAACTGTTTTTTTTTGTTTGTTTGTTTTTTGTTTTTTTTACAAGACATGGTTTCTCTGTATTGTTTTGGAGGCTATCGGTCCAGCCCAGCCTCGAACTCACAGAGATCCGCCTGCCTCTGCCTCCCGAGTGCTGGAATTAAAGGCGTGTGCCACCACCGCCCGGCTCATAATTGGTTCTTAACATGACCCTTTTTCTTTTTTCTGTATGTAGATAATTATTAAAGTCATAGATCCTGCAGCTGGGTGGTGGTGGTGCATGCCTTTAATCCCAGCACTCGGTAGGCAGAGGCAGGCAGATCTCTGTGAGTTTGAGACCAGCCTGGTCTACAAGAGTTAGTTCCAGGATAGCCTCCAAAGCCATAGGGAAACACTGTCTCAAAAAAACCAAAAGTCATGAATCCTGGTAAGACAGGCTAGAAGTATATAAAGTTCTCGAAAAAGGAATAAAAAATTAATTTTAAAAGACAAATAATTATTCCTAATGAACCCAAAGAAATAGACACAAAAATTAATAAAGGCTTTTTTCAATTTTAAGGAAATTTTTATTTAAAACATTTTATACATACATAAAATTTGTGAATAAGAGTAAGTAAATGCTTTATACCATTTGTATTGGTATTGTATGAGTAAACTCAGGCACTTCCCTACTCAAATATAGAGTACCCTGGGCAAACAGTAAGGGCTGTCTAAAAGCTCAATAAAATACAAAGTATGGGATTCATCTTCATTTCTCAGGACTATATATGAAAAGAAAATGTAATATTTTAGTGTTCAGTCAAAACTAGAAATTTGTCTAATGCAGTTTCAGAAAAACTCCATGACTTTTAAAGAAGGGAAACACAGTCAAAGTGACAATTCTCTTCAGTTATAAAAGAGAATGCTATCATTATTCCAGTTAAAATTCTCATTGCTTACTTTACAAAACATAAGTCAAGACTAGCATCCCTTCACAAAGATAAAAGAGTACTCAGAAAAAGAGCAATGAGAGACAGCTTTGTCTACCTCAAAGTCAACTTGATTTTAGTAGCAAAATAACACACTGGGATTTGATTTAAAAAAAAACACACACAAGCGTTAGGTAACAGAGCAGAACAGATGCATGGCAGGTTCTTAGTGTGTGTGCAAAGGCAGAATCTGTGAGATACCAAAGCCAAAGACATGGCTAGATGGTTGAATTATCATCCTTATGTAGTCCCTGTGACTAGATAAGAAGAGTTCATTTGATCCCACCCTTCTCAAGAGGGGAGTTAATGAATTAAATACATTTTAATTTATAAAGATGGATAAAATAGGATACAGAAAAATGAATAAAGTGTGTGGTAAGTATACATTTTTCAAGCAATGAAAGTCCCCTGCCTCCTCTGCAGAAGAGACTTGGTCACATATTTCAGAAGTACATTTCTTTTATTAGAAGCATCCTTGATGCTCTGTGTAGGTGACAGGTCTTTATGAGGGTGCAATAGTTAACCCTGATCATGACCACAAAGGATTTAGAGTCACCTAGGAGACAGAATTCTGGGTGTATGTTGAGGGTGTTCCCAGAGAAGTTTAACTGAGGAAGACCTACCCTGAATATGGGCAGACCATCCCATGGAAGGCATCAAACTGGAAAAAAAGGGGGGGGGCAAGCTGAGATCAGCCATTCGTCTCTCTCGGCTTCCTGATTGTGGACACGATGTGACCGATTTCTCAAGCTCCTGCCACCATGCCTTCCTGCCATGAGGGACTGTATCCCTTCTGAACTCTGGAGGCAAAAATTCACATCTCCTTCCCGAAGAGGCTTTTGTCAGGTCATAGCACCAAGAGGAGCAGTTGATACAGAAGACCTATTTATTTTAAATACACAGAGGGAGCTGGGCATGGGAAGGAATCCTGGGTGGAGAACCCTTCCTTAAAGCAAGCATTTCCTGGATACATCTATCTCTAAATCTGGACTTTCATATTCTGCTCTCTGTAGGAAGTGCTCTCTACAGATTTATCCTCTGTTCAAATTAGAATTCCTCTGTATCCATGCAACCTCGAAAATGTCATTTCTATGACAAGTCACCAAATGCATATGTTTAACAGTCCAGTCCATCAAGAATTCTAGCTCGTTTGGTCTTTTGTTCATCCTTTACAAAGTAAAGCTATCTGCCTCAGTCAGTTCAGGCTACTGAGATGAAGTGCTGCTGATTGGATGGCTTACAAACAATAGATGTATTTCTCATTGTGTGAAGGTGAATTCTGAGATCAGGGTGACAGTATGGTGGGGCTGTGGGGAAGGCCCTCTCTGGGTCACAGATTGCTGCTTTCTCATTGTGCCTTTGCATCATGGGAAAGAGGCTGAGGGAGTAAGACAGTGTTCACAGGAGCACTATTCACATTGAGAGGGTTCTGATCTCATTAGGTAATCACCTCCCAAAGGCTGCATCTCCTAATAGCATCACCTTGCAGGATAGATCACATTTGGTCCATGATAATCTCACTGAGCGCGTGCGCGCGCGCGCACACACACACACACACACACACACACACACACACACACACACACACACACACAAAGAATAAAAGTCTAAGAAGAGAGAATGTAATAATAGTACATGTCCTGATTTGCAAAGATTTCCAGGACAGAGAAGAAAAAAAACCTAAAAGTGATACTCAGTCCAGCTGGTTCAAAAAATAAAAAGAAAGCTTAAACCATAAAATTGTATATGAAATACAGATGGTGGAGGTTTAGTTAAATATAATTCATAAGAAGGGTTTGACGGGAATGCATTCATGTTAACATGTTGAATGAGTGATTAACCATGCAGAGCTGAGCTGCCTGTGAAATAGAGGCTGCTTTTAAATAATTCTCTTTTATTTTGTTTCATTTTTTAAGAAGGCCTATGTCTACATGGCAATTGTATGACTTTCAGTTTATTTATGTTCTTCTGATCCTGCCAGAGGAAGGAATGTGCTGTGTCTTACTGAAGGCCACTTCGAGAGGGCAGTCCCAGCCAGGCTCCTACATTTCAACGCCAGGCTTTCTTGAACCCAGTCTGATCACTTCTTCAGTAACGATGATTGGGCCCGATGACCACCTCTAGTTCTGACATCTTGTAATCTTTGGGGAAATTCCTTTTTTCCCCTAAGCAGTCACAGAAAAGACAATTTAGTCAGCCTAGCAGATATGTACTGATGATGTTCAAATGCTTTCCTTTCTTTCCATGTCTGTGTGTCTTGGACAAATTCTTTAGCATCTCTAAGATTCAATTTCCCTTCTGTAAAATGGAGCCAAGAAGGGCAACCATCTCCTGAAACAACTGAGAGCTAAGAGCTTAAATTCATAACGTTGTCTGGACAGGATGTGTTCTGTGTCCTTGAGCAGGGAGGGCAGTGAGGGCACACACATTATTGTGGGTGGATTTTTAAAATTGAACTCTAAACATTTAGTGAATATTTTCCCACTTATACAAGTCTGTTCACAAATGCATTTGATTTCTGAACAACACTGTGTTATTGTGAGCAGGCATTAGCTTCTCCATTATATGGGGAAGGCAGCCAAGGCTCGGGGTGGCAGCTAGGGTCAACTGAAAAGAAGCTGTGGAGTCAGAACTTAAGCACATCATCCACTGTTCATTTTACAAAACACTTGAGGACATGCTATCTGTTGGATACTGTGCTAACTGTACCGGTAAGCAGATGGATCAGGATGCTTAGAGGATCCAGCAGAGCTGTAAACAGTCAAGCCCGTTAGAGTGCAAGCAGCCCAGTCATTCAGAGTTGCTGTCTCAGTCTGTGCTCAGCACTTAGTATGGTATAGCCCATGTGAGTTACTAACACCTCACTGACTAAGTTTCTCCGCCTGTAAGAAGGCAAACACAATGTTTTTTTGGAGGCCAATAACGCAGAAGGACTTCAGAGGAACATCACCTTGACAAACCCATCACTGTGCAGGCCAGAATTCTTACAACAGGACACCTTCAGTCCCAATTGCCTCTGCAGGATGAGTTAGAGTTTTAAAGCTGATGTCATAATTGCCTGAGCATAAGCTATGATGATCTCTATCACCTCAACTCGTAACCCTTAGTGATGAAGGAAACCATAGTTGCCTGAATACCCTCATATTGTCATAAACAGAGAATTCTTGCTTCCTAGTGGTCCAAACCCTAACAAGCACTCTCAGGATGCTAGATCGGGATTGCTAAAGTATCCCTATATTTCTGTTTTCTTTATATTTAATGTTGATATTTTTGTCATTTGTTTTTTTGAGACAGGGTTTCTCTGTGTAGCATTGGAGCCTATCCTGGCACTCACAGAGATCCACCTGCCTCTGCTTCCCGAGTGCTGGGATTAAAGGCATGCATCACCAATGCCCGGTTCCTTCATGCTGATTCTTATTGACTTAAGTTTTTTTCAACATTATGACAGTTTTAACACTACAATATTGTGATGGTTTTAAAACAAAATATCCCTTGAAGGATCATGCTTTAAATGCTTGGTCCTTAGCCATTGGGGGAAATTATGGAAATGGGATGTTGCAGGAATAACTAGATTTCTAAGGATGTATCCTTAGAGCTATCCTGTTCCTGTCCCTTCTGTATGTCTGTTGGGGGGGGGAGTTCCCACCCACATGAGATGAACACCCTGGTTCTCCCCACACTGCCACCACCATGATGCTGTACCTTGCCATAACCCCAGAAATTCAGAACTGAGTAACCGTGGACTGAATCTTCTGAAACTGTAAGCCAAAATAGATTTTCCTCCTTATGATATTTCTGACAAAATGCTGTTACAACTACAAAAAATAGTAGCTGACATAAAAAATTGGTACCAAAGAAGTGCTTTGACTAAATCTGATCACATGATTCTTAAGCTTTTGAACTGATTTGCAGCCAGAATTTGGAAGGGTCTGAAGACAAAGGCTGAAGAAGAATGTTGTGAATACTACATGAGGGATTTGTGTGTAATCCCAAAAGATCTTAACAGGGCTTGGGATATAGACCAATAGTAGAGCACTTGCCTACCTACCATGTGTGAGTCCCCAAGGTTAATTCCTAGCACCTTAAAAAAAAGGATTAGATGCCGGGCGGTGGTGGTGCACGCCTTTAATCCCAGCACTCGGGAGGCAGAGGCAGTCGGATCTCTGTGAGTTCGAGGCTGGGCTGGAACGATAGCCTCCAAAACAATACAGAGAAACCCTGTCTCGAAAAACCAAGAAAAAGTATGTATGGTTAAAAAATGGAATACACACACACACACACACACACACACACACACACACACACACACCAGTATTGGCTTGGATCCATGATGGACTCTAACCTATAAAATGTAATAAAATTTCTACTTCCCAAGTTGCTTTTGGTCATTTTCCTGGCCAGTGTTTTGTCAATTTATTACAATCTAGAGTCATTTGAGAAGAGGGAACCTCTACTGAGAAAATGCCCCATCAGATTGGCCTCTGGGCAAGTCTGTAGGACATTTTCATAATTAGTAATGATTGTGGGAGGGCCCAGCTTACTCAGAGGAGTCTTACCCTTATGCAGGTGGTCCTGAGTTACAGAAGAAAGGAGGCTGAGCATCTCAGGAGGAGCAAGCCAGTAACCAGTGCTCCTCCATGGCTTTTGCTTCAGTTCTGGAGCTGGCTCCTGTCAGTGAAGAAGTGTGACATGAGAGTTGTAAGATGATGTAAACCCTTTCCTCACAAGTTCCTTTGTTCATGGTGTTTTATCACAGCAACAGAAACATACCTAAGACAGCCATGGTTATTATCACAGCAACAGAAAACTATAGGACAGTAGACAGACATGCTCCAAAACTCCCATGGGTTGGGGGTCAGGATCATTCCAGTTGCTGCAGTGACTTTGTAACACAACTGTTGTACCAAAGGATGCAATATATCAATATATTTTAAATATTTATTTGACATCTATTTAAACTCCTCCAATCACAGTGCATACAGTCTTAACTGTCAGAGGGTGGTGAGGGATTGATGCTTCTCTCCATTGTAAGGATCGTGGCCAACGATGCTATAGCAAATATATATAATTATTAGTATATAACAATTCACAGGTTAATAGGAGAAAATGTGACAACAGAAGGCAGAAGGGATACTAGTTGGGTGAAGGAAAGGAACTAGCAAGAGGAAGGCAGGAACACAGAGGAAGCCAGTGAGGGAGGGTATACTCCTGGCTGGTTTGTGTGTCAACTTGACACAAGCTAGAGTCATCAGAGAGGAAGGAGCCTCAGCTGAGGAAATGCCGCTGTGAGATCCAGCTGTAAGATGTTTTCTCAATTAGTGATCAACAGGGGAGGGCACAGTCCATGGTGGGTGGTGCTATCCTTGGGCTAGTGGTCCTGGGTTCTATAAGAAAGCAGGCCAAAAAAAAAAAAAAAAAAAAAAAGAAAGCAGGCCAAGGAAGCCATGGGAAACAAGCCAGTAAACAGCTCCCCTCCATGACCTCTGTGTCAGCTCCTGCCTCCGGGTTCCTGCCCTGCTTGAATTCCTGTCCTAACTTCCTTCAGTGATGAACAGCAATGTGGAGATGTAAGCTAAAAACTCCTTTACTCCCCAATATCCTTTTTGGTCATGGTGTTTGGTTACTTTAATAGAAACCCTAAATAAGACAAATTGGTACCAGTGTAGTGGGGTAATATTGTAACAGTCCTGACCATGTTTTAGGGAGGATGTGGAAGAACTTTGAAACTTTAGGCTAGAAAAGCCCTGAGGTTAAGAGCTCTGTGGAACTTGGAAGATAAAAGTGTTGAGAGCAGTGTAGAGGATGGAGGCCTGGCTTGTGAAGTTCCAGAGGGAAGTTAAAAGACTCTATCGAGGCTATTTGTTATTTTGAACTAAGATTCTGTGATTCTGGTTACTTGGGTCTGAAAAATTAAGCTGTGATTAACAAGACACCAGAACTATTAAAGCAACATTTTGGTTTGCTGGGCTAATTGATGCTGGTTAGCTAGAGATAAGAAATTAGTGGTGATTAAGAAGAGAAAGGAGATGGTTAGTGGTTGCACACACCTTTAATCCCAGCACTTGGGAGGCAGAGGCAGGCAGATCTCTGTGAGTTTGACCAGTTTACAGGACAGGCTCCAAAGCTACACAGGGAAATGCTGGAGGAGAAGGAGGGGGGAGGAGGAGAAGGTGGAGGCGGTGGAGGAGGAGGAGAGGAGGAGGGGAGGAGAAGAGAAGAGGAGAAGGTTGAGAAGAGAAGAGAAGGTTGAGAAGAGAAGAGGAGGAGAAGAGGAGAGGAGAGGAGGAGAGGAGAGGAGGAGAGGAGGAGGAGGAAAAGGGAAGAGGAGAAGGAGAAAGAGGAAAACTTGCATACAAGTACAAGGAAAGGGTGTGGCTTCATAGTGATGTGCTTGTGTGTCGAGTTGACAAAGGGTCAGTTGTAATGGCTGGTTTGTGTGTCAACTTGACACAGGCTAGAGTCATCAGAGAGTAAGGAACCTCAGCTGAGGAACTGCCTCCTTGAGATATAGCTGTAAGGTGTTTTCTCAATTAGTGATCAATGGGGAAGGACCCAGCCCATGGTGGATGGGGCCACTCCTGGACTGGTGGTCCTGGGTTCTATAAGAAGGTAGGCTGAGGAAGCCAGGAAGCAGCACCCCTTGATAGTCTCTGCACCAGCTCCTGCCTCCAGGATCCTGCCCTGTTTTGACTTCCTGTCCTTACTTCCTTCAATGATGAACAGCCAAATAAACCCTTTCCTTCCTAACTTGCTTTTTGATCATGGTGTTTGGCCTCAGCAATAGAAACCCTAACTAAGACAGAGGGGCAAAAATGAGAACAAAGCATAACAACACATACAAACCCAAAATTTAATTTTAAGCTTTTTTTGTAATAGGAGAAGAGCATAATAAATTTATGTGGTGAGAATTTTGGGGTTTGATGACACATGCCTTTAATCTCAGCACTTGGGAAGCAGAGACTATCAAATCTCTGTGAGTTGGAGGCCAGCCTAGTCTTACATAGTGAGTTCCAGGACATCCAGAGCTACAAAGAGAAACCCTGTCTCAAAAAAAACCATTTTTTTTCATGATAGGGTCTGAGGATGTAGCTCAGATCATAGAGTATGTGCTTAACATGCTAGAGATCCATAGTGCCATGCCACATGAACTGTATGTGTTGGTACATGCACATAGACCCAGAATTTAGGAAATGGAGCAGGAAAATCAGGCAGTCAGATCATCCTTGGCCATACAGCAAGTTTAGATTATATCTGGGGTATATGGGATCATATCACAAAGACAAAAAAAGCAAAATATTTTCAATTTCAGGTGATCCTTTCAACAAGAAGAAAAAAAATGGAAAATTGTCTGTTTTAACGTTTGGATTTGATGAAAAATATATAAGCCTCTACTAAGATGTTTGGGCCTCATGGTAATGTCTGAAGGAAGAACCCAGACCTGTCTGATCATATCATTCTGGTTATCTCTGTGCAGCGTTTCTTGCTCCTGGAACTGGGCCGGGACCCTTCGGTGATGAGTCATACATTCTACTGTAAGACACAGTAAACCAGAGGATTTCTTCATGGTCAGTTTTACTCACAAAGAAAGAGGAAGGTTTTAAGGACATTTCTGCTTTATTATTGACTTTGGAACAGAGGAATTCTAGGTTCTGTCGGCAGGAGGACAGAAGATTTGCATTGGTTGGTGTTAATTCTTTTCTGGGCCCCAATACTGTATACTTAAAAAAAAATACTGTATACTTTGACCAACTCTTCTATGTATAAAGAAAAAGCTCTTCCCAAGGTAACATTAAAATAAGTATCCATTAAAAATTGTCTACATTTGGCTTTCCCATTTGAATGAACAATCACCATTTGGACTTGGACTCCAGCACACTGCACCCTGCAGTTAAAGGGCTAGAGAAATTCTGTCCTTCTCTTCTCCATGGAGTGTTCCTGGATGCCTGTCTCTTCCATATTTAAATCCTGGGCTAGGTCACCAACAAGGCGGAGACGAGAGACCTCTGGGTACATCTTACCTTCTTAAAAGCAGGGCACTGCATAAATAACGGTGCATCGGAATGGACAGACGTGCGGCTGACAACAAATGCGGTTTTAATTTGTGGGAAGGAAATACTGTTGGAAAAAGGAAGTTCTCCGTGTTCTGTGAAGCTTTACACTGCGGTGAGGCTTAGAGTGCTGGAGAAAGCACTTCAGGATCAGAGCCAGCCATGTTATTAGTAATTTGTTTGCTTTCCCACACGTGGCAGGTAATGCAAGTCTTGGCTCTGTGGTCCAGGTGGCTAGCTCTGCCAGGAGAGATTCGGAGGCACTTCTGAGATGGGTATCACATGGGTAGCTGCAGGGTAGTAAGAACTGCTTAAGCTGGGGTGGAGGCTTCTCATCATCTGGACAAAACATATTTTCAGGGTTATCTGACAGTAGGGTACTCTGCAGCCAAGACTCATTGGGTACCTGTGGGCATGCACTACATGAAGATGTCATAGTGATATCTATTTCATAAAGTTGATTCATGCTAATAAGCATAACTTCAAATATAATTATTAATTGGGCAATAATCCAAGGAAACACAGCAAAGAAACATTCAGTTGAGTATACAGTATCAAGTAAGTTACCAATGCATGGGCAAGTGGAATTTCTTTCCCCCAGGTAACCCTGGGAAAGTGCGTGTTAAGGATACTAGGGAAACTATCAAGACTTCTCCTCATGAACCTGGAGTTATTGATGACTTGGCACTTCTTCCAGCTCAAATCTGGGGTGCAGTAGCTCTGACAACCAGAGAAAAGTCCTGGGTCACAGAGGTAAGTACTGGCAACTGGAAATTAACCATGCAGGATGCTGATGTGACCAGTAAAGACGGATACTAGTGGACAAAGTTTTAAAGTCAATGTCTAAGATACTGGATAATACATGAGTCACCATATAGGCTTTCTATGTGGGTTCCAGGGACAGAATTAAGCTTGCAAGACTGTCCAGCTTGCACAGCCAGTGAGTCTACCAGCTAAGGCATCTTCCCAACTCTGAGAATGTTTTTAAAATAAGCATGTTTAGGAACTGTGGAATGCAAAATGAAGGACTTGAATCCCTAACAAATTTAGGCAGATGTTAATAACAAGGAATAATAAAGAGACTAGTAAGAGGAGATAATGAAAGACAGTGTTTGGAAAGATAATGGCTGAGAATATTGCATAATTGTAAACAAAACCTTACATCAAAAGTATTTGCTTTATCAAACAAGATGAAATAAAAATGAAACCACACCAAAAATAACACAATGAAAGAACAGAATATAAATTCCAGAGGGAAAATCTCAGGAGTTACCAGTGAGCAAGAGCAATCTGGTTACCTAAGATGTAATAAGAAGCCAGCAGTCTCAGACTTTCCAGAAGCAATAACAGATGTTAACAGGCCCGGAGCAATCATTTCACAGTGGCGAGGGTAAAATAGACAACTGCAGAAGAATGAGACCAAGTCAAGACCCCAGGAATTCATTCTCCAGCATTCCCTGTTAGCAGGTATACCTCAGCAAGCATTGATGTGATCTCAAAGAGATGCCATAGGAAATGTGAGTGAAATCACTAACATAGAAGTATCATTGTTTTCTAACTGTATTCTAAGTGTTTAAAAGATGAAATTAAAATCTAGAGATGGGGCCTACGAGATGGCTCAGCTGACAAAGGCACTTGAGTTATGTCAGGCGATCTGGGTTTCCTGTCCATGGTTCACATGGTAGAAGGTAAGAACGGAGTCTCACAAGCTGTCCTTTGACCTCCACCCATACCATGCTATATGTATATTTAACTACTAATATGTAAAATTTCAGTAATGTATTATTCATAGTTGTCAAAAACTGGAAACAAGGTAAGTCTATAGTAAGTAAACAGATAAATAATGTAATATATTCATACCATATGGCATTATTTAGGGAAAAAGTAGACTGAACTTTTACAAATACATACAAATGTTGAAGGTATGTTGAATGAAAAGAGCCAGATCCAAGAGAGAATGTAAATAATGTATGATTCCATTTATTCATTTATATGACATTCAAGAACAAGCAAGACTTATTTTGCATCGGTAGAGGTTTTGCCTCACTGGAGACACTTATTGGGAAAGGTCACAGGGAATCCATGGCATAATGCAAATGTTCCACCTTGACCTTTTATAGTTTGTTGAGCTACATCTTAAAGTTCTCTGAAAATTATAAACCACCTTTTAAACACCCTCCACCAAGACAGAAATTATGTAAGAGGTGACAAGCATCCTCGGTAAAACTCCCATGGCTGATTATTTTGAACTTGTGGTCACTCATATCCAAACAGCAAAGAGTAATGATGAAGACACAATGCTATAAGGAGTAGAAGAAAATGGAAAGTGACCTTTATTATAAATCTTTAGAAAACGGGAAAGAATATGTTGGGTAAAAGGCAAGGGAAATTAAAATTAAGGAAGCTCTGAGAACAAAAGAGACTCATTAGACATTTAAAGTATATCTTTAGAAAATGCAGCCAAAGAGTGGAGAACAAAGGTCATTTCCTGGAAATCAGAATGAAGAACAAAGAGATGTAAAATTAGGAGGAAACGCACAATTAGAAGATGCAGTTAAAAGATGCACCATCTGAGTAGGGCATCCATAGTGCCAAAGGCTCCCCCAAAGGTCTATGAGCTTGGAGAGGAGAAAGTACATTTTAGTTTTTCCTAACTTCCAACAGATGCATAGTGTTGCTTCTCTTAAGATGGAAGCACAAAGCACAGTGTTTGCAACACTGTCACCAACAGAATCCATAGACATTTAAAACCGTATTAACAGTGATTTCCAGCATCTTGACATTAGTTTGCACTCAGCAGTACTTTTATAGCAAGGAGCATTGAACTTTCTACTGGGCCTTATTTAAGCACACATATGTAATTATATTCTTGATTTATACCTCTTTTTCTAAAGACAGTTTCATGTAGCCTAGGTTGCCCTCATACTAACTTGTGTACCTGAGGATGACTTTGAACTTCTGATCCTCCTGGTTCTGCCTCCCAACTGGCAGCATTGCAGGCATGTACTGCCATTCCTGCCTGGTTCATGTAGTTCTCCGAACTGAATCCATGGCGTCATCCATGCTAGACAAGTGCTCCCCATCTGGGCCTCATCCAACCCTCTTTCTTTTTTTTTTTTTTTCTTTTTTTTTATTAATTTTTTTTAATTTTCCATTTTAAATTTAGATAAGAAACAAGGTTGCTTCACAAGTCAGTACGAGGTCCCTCTCCCTTTCCCTCCCCTCCTCCCATGCCCTCCCCCCATCCCCCCCGTTATCCCCTCATTCCCCCAGGGAGGGTGAGGCCCTCCATGGGGGTGTCCATAGTCTGTCATTTCATATAGGGCAGGGCCTAGACCCTTCCCCAAGAGTTCAGGGTGAGAGTGCACCTCACATTGTTCTATGGGAGTCCAGAGACCGTGTGTATACTTGGGATGGGTACTGATCTGCTGTCCAAGGCTCAATAGATTACCTAGGCCTCCTCACTGACACCCAGATTCAGGGGGTCTTGATCAGTCCCATGCTGGATTCCCAGGCTGATGCCTGGGATTCAAGAGTTAACCTTTGTCTGGTCAGCTGTTTCTGGGGGTTCAACCAGCCCAGTCTTAATCCCTTTGATCATCAGTCCTCCCTCTCTGATACTGGCTTTCTTGAGTTCAGCTCAGTACTTAACCAGCCAGTAAATGAAGTTTCTGTTTCCCAGACTCTCTGGCAATAGGATTGTAGGCTGGCACTCCCCAGATCTATGTCTAAAATCCATATATGAGAGAGTACATGCCATGTTTCTCTTTTTGTGACTGGGTTACCTCACTCAGGATGGTTTCTTCTAGTGTCATCCATTTGCCTGGGAATCTCATGATTCCATTATTTTTTTCTGCTGAATAGTACTCCATTGTGTAGATGTACCACATTTTCTCTATCCATTCTTCGGGTGAGGGACATCTAGGTTGCTTCCAAGTTCTGGCTATTACAAATAAAGCTGCTATGAACATAGTGGAACAGACATCTTTGTTATATGAATGGGCATCTTTTGGATATATGCCTAAGAGTGGAGTTGCTGGGTCTTGTGGTAGGTTTATTCCCATTTTTCTGAGGAATCTCCATACTGCTTTCCAAAGTGGCTGAACCAGTTGGCACTCCCACCAGCAATGGAGGAGTGTCCCCCTTTCACCACATCCTCTCCAGCATAAATTGTCATTGGTGTTTTTGATTTTAGCCATTCTGACAGGAGTGAGATGGTATCTCAGAGTTGCTTTGATTTGCATTTCCCGGATGGCTAAGGATGTTGAGCACTTTCTCAGGTGCCTCTCAGCCATTTTAGACTCCTCTATTGAAAACTCTCTATTTAGTTCTGCAGCCCACTTCTTAATTGGGTCCTTTGCTGTTTTGGAGACTTGCTTCTTGAGTTCTTTGTAAATTTTGGAGATCAACCCTCTGTCAGATGTGGGATTAGTGAATATTTTTTCCCATTCTGTGGGCTGCCTTTTTGTCTTGCTGACTGTGTCCTTTGCCTTACAGAAGCTTCTCAGTTTCAGTAGGTCCCATTTATTAATTGTTGATCTCACTGTCTGTGCTACTGGTGTTATATTGAGGAAGCTGTCTCCTGTACCAATTCGTTCAAGGGTACCACCCACTTTCTCTTCTAAGAGGTTCAGTGTGGCTGGATTTATGTTGAGGTCTTTGATCCATTTGGACTTAAGTTTTGTGCATGGCGATAAACATGGATCGATCCGCATTTTTCTACATGCCAGTCTCCAATTATGCCAGCACCATTTGTTGAAGATG